CATTACACACGCATTCATACACAACTGACTCCTCTCACACAGCATTCACACAAATACACACACGCAACATGGAAATTAAAGACTCTCTCACACACAACACATACACAAATACACACAAGCTTAACATAGGTTGCAAAAACTCGCACAGACACTCATAACACACAACCCAAACACAAGTTTACATAAGTAACGAACATTCGCATAGATACACCACACACAACTTACACTCCCTCACACAATGAACACACAGAAACAAACAGAAACACATCAAATTGTAGAGAGTCATTATCTGCACAAAAACATAAGTTTAAATCTATCACCTACCCCTCCAACTACAAGTTTATCATGTGCTCTAGACAGCACCTGTGTTCTGGTCATTTTTTGTTAACATTTGACCAATTGTTTTTCCCTTAGAGTATGGTCACTTGCTTTAAATTATAACTCAGAAACTCGCCACTCATTACGGAAATCAATCAATAAATTAATAGACATCACCAGATCTTTTCGTCAGGGAAATAACATGGTCGAACTAACATTTAATAAATTGGGGTGTGGCTCAGGGGTGTGACACAGGGGTGTGACACAGGGTTGTGACACAGGGATGTGACACAGTGGTGTAACACAGAGGTGTGACACATGTGTGAGGAACAGTGGTGTAACACAGGGGTATGGCGCAGGGTGTGTTACAGGGGTCTAACACAGGGGTGTGACACAGGGGTGTGACATATGGGTGTGTCGCGGGGTTGTAGTACAGGGATGTGACTTAGGAGTGTAACACAGGGTGTGATACACGGATGTAATACAGGGGTGTGACACAAAAGTGTGACTAAAGGGTGTAACACAGGGGTGTAACACGGAGGTGTGACACAACAGAGACGGAATGGGGGTGGCCAGGGCAAGAGCTGAATTTCATGAAAATTGGGTGACAACTTTATTGACGTGACCTGATACAATGTTAGCACCGTGTTTTATGGCAACTCTGTTCACTTACATATAGCAGCCATTTTCGTAGAATGACGACGGTCGCTTGTTCAACTCGTTATCAAACGGACCAAGACCTTGATTTGTTAAAAAAATAAGGAAGAAAACAGACTAACAAACAGCGTTATCAGTCATGTTGTAAAAGTACATTACGTAATTTTTAAAAATTATTTCTTCAAACTATTTTGTTGCGGGTTTAAAAGTACTTTATATGAAAAAAATAACTACAGGAAAAAAATCAGTTTGTTGTGTTTATTAAAAAATCTTTAGATCATTGGGTAGCCAGAGCAATGTGACGTATGTTGGCCAAGTTCAAGTATTACAACTTACCTTGTGTTATGAGGTAAAGGTGCAGTGTATCGATAACTTCTTGATCACGACAACATACAGAACGTCACAGATACAGATGAAAAGATCGACAAAAGATCTTCAACGGTCACGTGTCGTGTTTATTTATAAAGACAGATCACACACTGAGACAATACTTTGTTTTTCTTTCCCCCAAACAGATGAAGACCCCAGAACAAAAAATACAATCTTATCCCTTAACGAATAAGACAAGATTCCCTTCTCCTTAGAAGACAAGAGAGGATGGACCCAAGCTTGCTTATGCTTTTCTACACTGCTCAAACACATCATACAATAACATACAACGTCACGTTGATTTACATACAATCTTCCAGCACACAATAGACATAAACGAGAATACTTTCAAAATTAGTCGAAAGGCCATTAAATATTTTTAAAAAATCATGTAGGCCTATGTGTTATTAAAATAAATATGGTTTTTAAAAAAGTCAGAATGAGTCTTAAATGACGTCAGACAGTACCGCTACTATTTATAGACGAGAAAAATGGCCCGTTGAGGAAGGATACACCGGGCGCTAGGTTGATAGTGCTGTCTCTTTTCTCTAAACTAAAACCAACCCACCCCCCACACACCACCCCCACCCCCACCCCACACACCACCCCCCACCCCCACCCCCCACACACACCACCCCCCTCCACACACCGCCCCCCCACCCCTCCACCCCCCCCTCTCCACCCCCACCCCCCAAAAAAAACATGTCTACCGTCCAATTCAACGAAATATAATTATATACTTTTTCCAGTGTCCGCCCCCTCCCAGAAAATTCTACCCCCGCCCCCGAAAATTTCAATTACCCCCACCCCTCTCCGGGGAGGAAAAACTCTGAAAGAAACACTGAAACCAACCCACCCCCACCCCCCACCCCCACACCCCCCACCCCCCCCACACACACACCACCACCCCCCCCCACCCCTCCACACACCCCCCCCCCCCCCAAAAAAAAAACATGTCTACCGTCCCATTCAACGAAATATAATTATATACTTTTTCCAGTGTCCGCCCCCTCCCAGAAAATTCTACCCCCGCCCCCGAAAATTTCAAGTACCCCCACCCCTCTCCGGGGAGGAAAAAGTCTGAAAGAAACACTGAAACCAACCCCCCCCCCACCCCCCCCCCACACACCACCCCCCCCCGCCCCTCCACCCCCCACACACACACCACCCCCCCCCCCCCCCACCCCTCCACACCCCCCCCCCCCCCCCCCAAAAAAAAAACAACATGTCTACCGTCCCATTGCAAGAAAACCACTTTTAAGATTAGACACATTAATTAGGCGGTAATTTTATTATAGAGTATCGATGAGGAAATTTCTTTTGAGTTGGGGAGGGGGGGGGCTCAGACGTTCTTACGCGGGGGTGGGGCTTCGCCCCTACCCGAAGAATTGTATGAAAGAAACTCTTCACGCAAACCACTTAGATTAGACCAAATTGCCTTTGTATTGAATATCGATAATCAATGACGTCATATCAATGTGTGCACTATCCGGCTTGAGATTATTTTCTACTCTGTGCGCTAAATGTGTCGACGTCATACTTCGTTTTTCGAATTACTATGCATGTTTTTATTTTCCTTGTGTTTTCTCTAGAGCGTTCTTGTCAGACAGATAGATAGATAGATAGATAGATAGATAGATAGATAGATAGATAGATAGATAGATAGATAGATAGATAGATAGATAGATAGATAGATAGATAGATAGATAGATAGATAGATAGATAGATAGATAGATAGATAGATAGATAGATAGATAGATAGATAGATAGATAGATAGATAGATAGATAGATAGATAGATAGATAGATAGATAGATAGATAGCTAGGTGGGTTCTCGGACTAAACGAGTTTATCTTTTAATTAAAGCTACTATTAATATGCTGTCAATGTTGATTTCTGCGTTCATGTTATAAAATAAATAGAGCGAAATGGAAAGCTAAACCAGGGGACGTTGAGTAAGTTTGTCTGGCACTCTTATCATGTCACATGTCGGAAACGAGTAAATTTATCTGGCAACATTAGCAATTTGCATGTCACCTTTTTTAAAAAAAATTCGTTATTACAACCACCAACCCATTCCCGTCCCTCATCAAAGACTGTATAAAACTCACTTTGTTATGAGATTCTTTAAAAAGGGAAACAATTTAGTTATTACCACTGTCATTTTTATCTAAATAACTCTTTCCCTTTGTGAACATTTAACTTCCACCGAATCTAAAAAGTGTTTGCGTTAAAAATTGAAATCCACCAAAGCAATGAAAATATTTTTTAAAATCAAATATCGTGGTTTATTTTTTACCCCCCACCGCTTAATTTCCACGGCATTAAATTTAAATAATAGTATTAAAATGGTATAAACTTCATTTCATGGCTCCGACACAAACTGAATTACTCCCCTTTGTTCTGAACCGATGCAATTATTTTTTTGCCTACATCCTGTTTATAAAAAAAATCCTGTTGCACCAGCAGCATATTGCCCCATTAAAAAGATCATGCGCCAGCCGCCTTATGTACAACTCGCCCTGTCGTGTGATATAATGTCATTGATGTCATAGCCGCGATTAGCATAGGGCAGGGGTCGGCAACCTGCGGCTCGCGAGCCGCATGCGGCTCTTTTGATATCAAGATGCGGCTCTCCGGCTCCTTGAACAAATACTAATAATCTTAATAAAAAAATAAAATATTTGAAATAAAAAAAATGTTAGTGGCTCTTTAAAACCAGGGAAATTTTAAAAATTGTAACTTTTGGCTCTTCCGCTTCAAAAGGTTGCCGACCCCTGGCATAGGGGGTCAACCATTTTTAACTCCCCCCTCCCTTTACACGGTCATACCTCCCCCCCCCCCCCCCCCCAAAAAAAAAAGACGTCACGCCGCCACAAAATTGATTTAAAAAATAAATTCTAGAATTTTTCTAGAATCTTATCTATCACACTTCACGCCTTTAAGCCGTTTGTTCACACCCGGTCCCCACTTACCCCCCCCCCCCCACTATCACCAAAAGTAAGATGGTCACAAACGCCAGCTTTACTGTAGCTATTAGCCATCATTCAAATTACCCCCCCCCCCCCCACCGGAGAAAAGAGTCTAAAAGTCTGAAAGGAACACTGTAAACAAGAGGCTTTCACAAATTATCAGACCCCCACCCCTCACGAATATATGGACCTTTTAAAAATATTACCTACGTTTTTGTTTTGTTTAGATACTTACCTTTGATGGAATATATTTAGAATATATCAACAGTGTGTATGTTTTATATTTATTTATTGCAAGATGCTGCTCAAGGGATAAAATATTGCCAAATACTAAACAATTGATTTCCCTGGCCCTACCGCCAGCCCGTTAAAATAACGATATAGAATACTTGTAGACCCACAACTTATCATCAAAATATACAGCTATACAGGCAGAGGCGTAGCGACCGTTCCCGGCGCCCGGGGACAAACTTTTCGATTTGCACCCCCTCAAGATTTCGATTTGCAATTTATTCATCTAACATTTTAATAAACAAAAATAAAACATTTAAAGAATTGAATGAATATAACCTAATAATAAATATTATAACCTAATGCACCTTTATGTTCTTATATTGTAAATATGAAAATCGCGAAGTATTATTTTAAAGTAACTGTTATAAATAGCAAATTGATGGGAAATGGGTTGCCGCTTCCGCTTTACAGAGAAATAAACATGGCGTCAAAACGTGGAATAGATTCGCAAGTTCAAATTGTTCAGATAGATGGACTGGTCTGTATTAGCATAAACATTTTTAAACGTTTGTTTGTGTGAATTATTATAACAACTTAAGTGTTGGAAATTAAAGTACATATATTAACGATGTATTCATTATTATAATGGCAACAGTATGGTTCCGTCGGTACCTTAGCTCGGTGGTCAGTGCGTTTTTCAGTTTTTGTTGTTAACTTGTTACTATTTCACCGCGTTTACACTTACGACATGTATACTAGACTTGGCCTATTTAAGTGTACACTAAACAAGTTATGGGTATATGCATCTTCTGAGTCACAGGGCACAAAACCACGCCCCTTTTTATGTTCTGGGTCAAGTTTTTGTTTCTGCTCGCTGAGCGAAAACAGGATACGAGCCGAACCGCAGCGTAGCATACGCTGCTATTTGTTTTATTTTCTACTTTTAAGTAATTCACAATTTATTGCTTCAACACTATCCCCCCCCCCCCCCCCCCCCCATGGTACGTTAAAGCAGCTGTTCGTGACGACAGTGACGACAGTTTACAGATTAATGAAAATATCTAGCAGAAATTGTTACCTCCCCATTGTTTCAAATAGCTTAAATACTAAATTATCTGTCCCTAATAGTAATAGCCCTCTCTAATCCGACCTGGCTCTACTATTGTAAACATTCGAGGTGAACCCCAGCTCACCTGACGGTGGGGATGAGGGTGGGAGCTAAGCTGCGTTTTTTTTTTCTATGGTCTCCATGAAGAGAATTATATATATACATCGGTATAACAAATAAACCCAATAATCTAAGGGTTGACGTGGTAGAATGTAGAGCATTTGGGTGTGATTGTAGGACGTCCCAGAGTCCATCCAGCACTGATGGATACCTGACTTACATTGTTAAAGGCAGCTGGGCACACTATCTCTACATATGCCTAGGCAAGAAACATGAACTTGACTTTATCTGCCAAATGGATTGCTAGATCTATAAAGGAATCTTTACTTTATTAAATAAACTAATTCAGTAAATGGTGAAAACTAGATATGTTTACACTTGACACGTTGACCATATTTTTTTAAAATGTGTTTTTTAAAATTATGATTTCCAGTGCTTATTTTAGGCCTAAACAATGATTTAATCAAATTATTAGGCCTAGGTCCTATAGGTTAACCCCTTTACTGTGTGTCACGAGTTAACTCGTCATATAAAATCTTGGGCTTAACCGTACATCACGAGTTCACTCGTCTTCAGATAAAAAAGTCATCTGTGTGCCGTGCGTCCCGAGTTAACTCGTCTTGATACGAAAATAGCATTGGAAATCAATAACAATGTAGAGGGAGGCTAATCTAATAGCCAATTCAACAGTGGATGATAAAAATAGGTCATCATGTGTTTTATTTTGTCAGGACAACATAACATTGAACAAATCAAATAATGAAAAAAAAACAATTACACGGTTTCCAAAAACTAAAATTTTTTTTTTTCCACGGTAAAGGGGTTAAAATCTATATATATAATTCTCTTCTGGGAGACGCTAGAAAACAAGCTGTAAACGCGCTCCCTACCATCCCCACCCCTACATGGTCTTAGTGAGCTGTGGTTCACGCTATGTTTACCTTCGTGGAGTCGGGTTTAGTGACGGCTATTAGGGGCAGATAATTTAGTTTGAAACGATTTTAAACGTTGGAAGCGGGGAGGGTTATGGTCCTTAACGAGCTACTTATAGTGTTTTAAAGAAATATTTTCAGTATCAGCGTTGATACTGTCGAATTCACAAATTATGAATTACTGAAAAGTAGAAAAAACAACAACTAAATAGTGGCGTACGTTATGCCGCGGGCCGGCTCGTGTTAAATAACTTAGTACCCACTTATTGGTAATTACAGATCAACACTCTGCTTCATTGGAAAAGAAGTGCTCTTTTTAATTGTGCATACTATTCAGATTTGATTAGCCTATATTTTAGTGGAGTACTTTCTGCAATAAATAGGCCTTTACTTTTAGGCAATTTTTCTTAATGCATAGCTAAATTCTAAAAAGAAATGACTGAAGCCAAAATATAGTAGGTCTGGTAGGCCTATATACTCTGTTTATAGAATATGCAGTACTTAAATTTGGTCTTCAGTTAACTTGTAAATGTAATGTGAATATAATCTGTATTTTTCATGATCTGTTCACTTCTCTTAAAATAGTTTACAGGTCAAAAAATCTTGTAATTAACCATTTTTTTTTAGATTTCACTAGTAGGCCTATAAAATTATAATAAAACACAGGGTCCTATAGTGCTCTTATAATAACATGATCATTAGTAGTACTAATACTTATACATTTAAAGTAAATAATTTACAAAATTTTTGGAACCCATAGTTTAGAGACTATTAAACAAACCTAAATAATTTTTGTTGCCAAAATTGATGAATCTGCAATTGATATCAAAGTGAGCATCTTTTTTTTTATAGTTGGATATTTTTAATAAAATGTCTTATGTCACTTAGGTTGTGTTGAAAATGATCAAACACAGCCATGAGGAGGGTGCTGGCGGTACAGACTTGGTGCAGGGAGTTTTGCTTGGACTTGTTGTGGATAACAGGCTAGAGATTACTAACTGCTTTCCATTTCCTAAACATAATGAAGATGAAGACTTTGATTCAGGTAAGCAGTTGATTTGTTTACATATTAAGTTAGCTATAGGTGCAAAGCAAATTGGGCTGATAAAAAGTCAATAGGGATTTTTTTTTGTTATGCTGGCACGTGAATGCTATCCTTAGTGGAAATAGTAACAATATTTTCCCTTGGTATAGTCATTAACTTTTTCCAGCCAAATTTTAATTTCTTTTTTATTTTATTCAAGTTTCTGTGCAGTATCAGATGGAGATGATGAGGAATTTGCGCCATGTTAATGTGGATCATCTGCATGTAGGATGGTACCAAAGCACTTATTTTGGTTCATTCATCAATCGTGCTCTGCTTGATTCTCAGTTTAATTATCAACACTCAATTGAAGAATCTGTAGTCTTGATTTATGGTAAGCATGAACCTTAATATTTTACATCTGAGTTGTTGTTTTTTGTTTTCTCTGTTTGTTTCCTAAAAATCTCAATTTCAGATTTTTTACATATAAAAATTCTATCTTTATCACATTCCTGACAGCTATAAAATCTTTTAATACTCCTTGTATTCTATTTTCAGACCCTCTCAGGACGAGTCAAGGGTTTTTGACCCTGAAAGCTTATCGTCTTACTCCTGCTATGATGAAATTTTATAAAGAAAATGACTTTACACCTGAAAATATGTCGAAACACAACATAAACTTTGAAAGCATGTTTGAAGAGATACCCATTGTCTTGAGAAATTCCCATCTAGTCAATGCTCTTCTATGTGAGCTGTCAGATAAAACAAGAAAGGAACAGAAGTTTTCAGCCCTTGATCTTGGAACTAGGTAATAGTTGTTTTTGACATTTGCATTTTATAACAAATTTGTTTTGATAGTTTTTAGAAAGTTTTATTCATTATTAACTTTTTTTTTTAAACTGAATAGAATTGAAACTGAATTTCAAAAGGCTTTTAGTAGTGTTGATAATTAATAGGAGCACATTGGGTAATTGAATCATTAAATCTATGTTAATAAAATGGATACCTCTGCAAAGTAAACGAGCGATTAAACAAAATATGGTCCTGATACCAATGTGGCCTGACATTCAAATTTTTATGTGAATTATTGAACAAAGGTTCATGGTTTTGAGAAATGAGAATATGAATTGTGATATAATGGTACGTGAATGCATCATTCAAGTTAAAGTAAATTTGTTTTCTTGTTTCTGATACTCTTAGTCGGGGTTAGTAAATATTTTTTTCCTCTTTTGTAGTTCCATGCTTGAAAAGAATCTACGACAGCTTATGGAATGTGTGGATGATGTTGCTATGGACACCAACAAATACTTGAATTTCCAACGCAACAATTTTAGGCAACAACAAGCTAAACAGCAATATATAATGAAGAGAGTAAGTATATAACTTACTGGTTTAAAAAGTAAAATTTGTTTATGTATTTCGGTGTCATTATTTTGACTTAATTTAAAATGCAATTAGAAAAGATGTTGTAATACCTATATAAAAACCTTTTTTAAATAATATATTATTAATATTATTCTGCAGGAACAAGAAAATCTTCAAAGAAAACAGAGAGGTGAGCCAGCTCTTCCAGAAGAGGATATAAACAAATTGTTCAAACCTCTTCCTACACCTCAGCGTTTGGACTGCACACTGGTTGCTGGTCAGATGGACAGTTACTGTAAACAAGTGTGTGAATTTGCTTCACAGAGTTTAGGGAAAATGTTTATGGCAGAAACTGTACAGTCAGCAGAAAGTAGTTAGTGCAGCAAAAGTAGAGCCATCTTCTCCTCCTGGGTCTTCTCAGTTTTTAATTCAAATCAAACCTGTAAAAATTGTTTTGGGAATAAAGAACAATCTTCAGATCAATTACTTTGTTCTAAAGCTATGATGAGATCACCAAAAAGTAAAATATTTATTATAAGATGCATTTTGTTTGAGTTTTGTTTCATACACGAAATATTTTGTTTCAAAAGAATGTCAACTCTATACAGCTGAATCTCATAAGTAGGGCAGCTTTCATTTTTCAGCATCTTCATTACATTTGTGGGTCAAAGTTCTTGGATATTACAAATGCAATTTTTATTCAAATTCTAAGCTCAGGAAGCACAAATAGTATTACTTAGCTGGAGAGCCAAATTAATAAATCAGTGACAGCATTGTGCAATTAATTAGTGTCTGAAATGGCCATCCCTTTAATTTTCCATTCACTAAAATGTATGAATCATTCTGAAACTTGTTGCTCATAAATATTAAAGTATTGAGCTGTTGCATGAAGATGCATTAAATCCTTGTTTCAAGTCTAATGAACATTAAATATTACATATATCTCACTATGAGTTCAAAATATGCTATTATTATGGACTTCAGCCTTAAATACTTAAAAAAATATTAAGGTTTTAATTTCTGGATTTGGGTTTGACTAAGGATTGTCATAGCTATAGTCCTAACAAATGATTTAATATGTACATGTCACACACAAATATAAAAATACTTTTGCGTTATACAATGTTAGCCTTTATAAACAGGGTTCAATAACTGACAATTTATATACATGAGCTTCATAGTCTACACACATGAAGTTTTGGTTATAGGATCAGTTGCAATATTTAACATTCAGAATTGCTTGCTAGATGCTATGCTGTAGGCCTGCTGTTTCAGATTTGTCTATCTGACAATATTTTTTTATTTAGAAAACTCCTACTAAACATTTAAATTTTTGCCCTTAGTAAACCGCTAACAAACCTGTATCATGTATTGTTAAGGACATTATCATAATTATTTCAGACCTTGAACCTACTATAATTCTTGATTGCGCTTTCTATTTCAAATGTACACAACCAACATAGCAAAATAATTTTTAAAAAATAAAATACAAAGCCAGCCAAAAGTTTGTAGGTTCTTTATTACGTTAGAAATGTTCATTTTGTTAACTGATGACTTAATAACTTGTAATTTCATGTGTCTGTTAAGAGAATTCCATTTTACACTGAGCTTCAAAAATAGTATGGCAAACATTGAAACATTATTTAATGTTCTAATGTGAACAAACTTTTTAAAAAAAAACAACATTAAAAGCAGGAAAGGTGGCCTATGGTCCTGAAGTTAAAAAAATTATAATTGGAAGGACTTGAGTACATCACAGGGAAGTTGACCACATGCACTAAACATTCACTAGAACAGCTCCAACATGTTAAACTGATGTGGTGACATGTTAGTATTTTACAGCATGATTGCAAAAAAATATTTTTATTTGCATTACATTCATTATGACTCTTAAATGTCAACAGTCTCTCCACTAAAAATACAATTCTAGATGACAACAAAAGCTTATGCCATATATCATATAGAGATGACACATTATATAATTATAATCTAAGAGTGTAATAAAGTTGGAATGTCAAACACTCATCTCTATAATTTGTTAATCCAATTCTCAGAGCCTCCAACTAGCCAGAATCAGCATACTCAAAGCAATAGAAATAAATCAGAAAAAGTTTTTTATTTTAAACCCAATACCAAAAATTTAAGGAAATTAAAAAAAAAAGTTTTTTAGACTGCTTACGACTTACTGTTTATTATTTAAGTTCAAACATTTGTATTAAAATATTTCAATCTCTCTAGCTCCAAGTGTCATGGATAATTTAGTATAAAACTACACAATCCATCACATTTCTACATTAAACAATATAAATCTATATATATATACTTTTTCTCAATACTTGTCAGTGGGCTTGAAATTCATTAACAACAGAAGGCATGTAAACAATTCAGCATCTGTTTCATTCAATGCTGCTTAGAAACTGAAAATCGACAGTGGAAAAAAATGTACAATACAAATAGATTTTTATTTTTACATTTGTAAAAACAAATGAAGGTAGCTTGCCTATTATATTGTCTGGGGACAAATGTTATCTGGACTTCTATTATCTACCAACTACCAATAAAAAAAATTCTTTCAGCTGATGTGAAAAAAAAAATGTCTGCTGTATGCACTATCAGATCTAAGAGCCTGCTTTACTGTTTTACTTTCTTGAAAAAAAAAAGACTTGTATAAGCTACTTAAAGAAACCAGCTACCAAGTGAAAAGAGTATATGGATGTGGAAATTTTAACTATGTTTGCCATAAGGCTACTATTGTTAGAGTGCTCACCTATGTGTCACCACTTCCAGGCTGTTTATCGGTACCGTTGTTGTCACCTATGTTCTGTCCCCTCATCTGTTCCCGTAGATGCTGAACCAGTTCAGGATTTGCTTGTTGCATCTGACTTGCCATTTGCTGGGACCTAGCGTTGTTATGAAGAAGTGCAGTGTGTTATTATAAAGGGGATGTGTGTAATTAGTCTTTTAATAATCTAGAATTTTTTTTTACAATAAATATAAAACACATCAACACCACACAGTTTAAGTATTGATACTACAGATGTTCAACGCCAAATTGTAACCATAGAAACCAACTGTAGCTCTACTCTAAACCAAAACTAGTAGTATTGTCAATAAGTAACTTACTTAAACCTGACTGGAAAAAATCCATTTAACCCACCAACTGTGGTATACAACAGTTCTGTAGTGTGGGAGGAGTTTGCAAGCATTTTGGGTGACCTTAGATGTAATATTTGGCTTACAAAATTTACAGCTAGAACCCTAGACTAGATCTTTTCTTCAATGGAAATGAATGGAGATAATAATAGGTATATGATTAGGGGATAGAAAAAACTTTTAGTGGATGATACTGACTTGGAGTCAAGTCATGTTTTCAGTTGCATTTTATTTTGATTAACCGGATACATCTCCATGTAATATTAATAAAGTGTGTTAGTCTTGTCAACATTGATTGTATGCCATTCATTCAGAAATATTCCTACAAAAATATTTTTTTTATCAGTATTAATTAGAATCCAGTATTTTAACGGTCCATATTTTAAATTTGCAATGTAAAACACTACTGTCCATTAAAGTTAACAACAGGGTTATTTCTGGGGGAAAATTGGATTGAAGGTAAATTTTCTACAGAGTTTTTCATAGGCCAATTAGTTTTTGGCCAACACATGGAACAGGATTTGCAGCTTTGTGGGTTAACAAAAAGTGAAAATACAGCTTTGAGTTACAAACTTACGCCTGCAATAGATTTGATAAGCCAGCACCACCACCAGAAGGGTTGACACCACTCACTAGGTTGGCCATCCTATGTTGGAAAAAGATTAAAACTGACAGTGTTATCAAATGTTATTTTTTCTCTTGGAGTAGAATGTGGAAAGAATAATCAGTGGCATTCCAAATGAAACCAAAATTTAATTTGAAAATTGTTATCAAATGTAAAATAGTCAAGGCATAAAATTCTAATAAATATTGAGATTTCTAAGGAAATACATGTTACTTTTCAACAAAAACAAGTTATGTAAAGTTTTAAATGAAAACGTGCTACATTTACTTATATTTATCAGGTTTGTAAAAACCTCAGTAAATGACCCAATTACTTCACTCATCAACAACATATCTCAATTTTTACAATAAAAAGTTTGATAAAATATTGTGCTTTAGATACAATGTGTACAAGTTAGAAATACTAAATAATGAAACCCATAAGTGTTTTAGAAGATAGCATCACTTACATCTGTTGAATTTGAGGATTAGACATCATAGTGGTTGCCTGCAATAAAATTTTATAGGAGGTTAATGAAATAATGAAATACAACATTTAAAAACAAAAAAATATAAAATGCTTATTACTTTAAAAAAATGTGTGAACTATAATTACCATATTTACAATGTTAGGATCACTAAACAGTGAACTGAAATCTAGATTGCCCATTCCAGGTAACCCAGCAGCAGGCCCCGTATTAAACCCAGCCTAGAATGAAAACAATTAAACAAAGATTGTTATATACTATTACTTAACAATTATTTAACACGGCATACAATGAGACATAAAACAAAAATCAGGATGTAACATAATTCTTAAGCTCAGCTTGGAATGTAATATATTACAACAGTAAATAATATAATTAATTATGGCTGTATTTTAGTCAAGATATAAGCAGTGTTCTTGGGCAGATTTTTCTACTTGTAACTGAGAAAGATAAATTAAAGTTCTTTAGCTAGTTTAGCCCTAAAAGATATTTTAACCATTAATGTCCCATTCATTCTACCAAAACTCCACCCATGACGGCCCAATGTAAGGAGCATAACTCTGTATGATCAAGTGAATAGTTTCACAAAATATTTGTTTTTGTCTAAATGAAATTGAAAATTAAGATAAAAAGTACTGCTTAATGTTGGGAATAAACCTGGCTTTCCAACAGTATTAAATAGAATATATTATATTCGGTAAAAGTACAGTATAAAAATAAAAAATGTCTGAGAAAATTCAAAACAGGTCATTTTCGGTAGTCAACTTTATTTATTTTTGTCTTAACAACTATGCATCGAATTTAACAGTTAAATATCAATTTGGTTATGTTTAACATATATAATTCATAAAATACATGCCTAGATACGTTTAGAGGCATTAATTTTTTTTATTTTTAATATTAAATCTACTAAAAATACGACAGATGAGTCGAAAATTTCGAGATAGAAAGAAACTATTATTTTTTATCTTTCAAAAGCGCCATTGAAATTACAAGACCGGAAAAGGATGCTGAAACCATCCGACTTCCTGTTTAGTTAAAAATTAGGATTTGTAGGCCAAATTTTAATGAAACAAATTTAATTTTTCTATGCGTATTGTAAGCGGGCGGCAGCGGGCGTTACGGGACATTAGCGGTGTCGGGCGGCAGCGGGCGTTACGGGACATTAATGGTTAATAGACCAAGTAAACAAACCTGTGTTGCAGCTTCTTTTAATTTCTGTTCAGCTATTTCTAAATTATTTTGGTAGCTTTGATTGTCTGGGTCCAACTCTAGTGCCTTGCGATAACATTCATAAGCACTTTCGTGATCTTCTAAAGCTGTAAAGGCTATTCTGTAGATACATTCAACATAAAATTATATTTTATATTTTGTCTACATTATCATTTTAGATAATGTGATAAATTTGTTCTAAAGTGAATTAGAAGCATGTGGATTCATAAATATAACTAATAAATAAGTAAGATCATCATAAATGACAGAATCTTGGAATACAATTTCATTACAGACAGAGCTGAGGAATAATGGCAAAAAAATCACAAATGACACCAGAAGGATAAAGAAGTAAATGTATTTTATTTTTATCCTAAATTAAAATAAATGAAGTATTCACGCACCCCATGCGGCCATAAGCTTTACTGTAGCTTGGATCTATAGCAAGAGCTCTATTACAGTCTTCTATAGCTTGTTGATGTTTGTTGAGCTTGCTATATGCAGCAGCCCTAATACATAGGAATATAATTACAAAAAAAAATGATACAAATGAAAAATACTAGTTAAGTTAAAAAATATTATTCCAAAGTCAGGGGGCAGGCACGATAGAATGAGAGAGCTTATATCTCAAGGTCGGATACCAGATTAGAGTCTGTAGGACATCCAGGAGCCCACCCAGCCCCCATAGGTATCTGAATCATATTAGGTGAACAAAGGTGGTGAACAAATTGTGCTGACTACACTATCACTCATATGTAGAGGTCATTTAAACAGATGAAATCTACATAATCTGCCCCATGATGATGATGATGTAAAGAAAAAGATTTGTATTTGCTAACAAAAAGAATTTGGCTTGTGTCCAAAAAAGCATTTTAAAAAGGAACCTGACTTACCTGTTACAGAAATAAACAGCGTTTCTAGCATCTAATCTAATGGCTTGAGAATAACTGTCCAAAGCATCAGAAAACTTTTCACATTTCATGAAGTCATTTCCTATATAAAATAGATTTGAATTATAAAAGATTCAACTCATTGGTTTGCTGTTAGCAGATTATGTAAAGAAATAAAAATATTTAAGCTTGAATACATTTCTTTTCTTAAGAGAATATTAACCTAGGAGCATTTCTAACCTTTATTTTTCAGTTTTTCAGCTTCTTCCTTTTGCACTGGTGTTGCCTCATGAAGGGACAAAGAAGCGAGGTCTGATTCTGTCTGTTACCAGATATGGTTTACAGTGTTATTATTTTAAAGTGTTTTTATTAAACTTTTAACTGAAGGAGATTAATACAAATAGTTTACCAACACCTCTAATTAAATAGCATAAATTGTTCCTTCTCATTATGCTACAAATAAACTAATGTGCACAGGAAAGTAAGAAAAGAAGGAGAAAGAACTTTTCAAAAAGTATTGGAAAGTTGAATGCCAGCAAATAATTTGTTTATTAATTTTTATTTCTAATTATTTTAATAAATAAAATATTTTTAGCTATTTACTAAGATGTTTAAGACAATGGTATGAAACATATTATATGTATATTTACTTAATATAAATAAACCCAACCTCAGTTAGCTGTGCATTAAAAATATCCAACAAGTTGTATGGGATGCTATATTTTCTCACAAACTCCTCTTCAGTTATGTTGATTTTGTAAACTTGTTCTAGACATTGCATGGCAACTAAAACAAAAAAGAATAAAGATGAACTAAACCTATCCAAAAATTTCAAAATGCATAAACCTTTTAAAAAAAACTTATCTTGAAAAACTGATAAAAATAAAGTTTGATGCTGCACCATACATTATTACAAAGGATGTGTTTTTTTACCTTCTAAACTTTCTGCTGCCTCATCATCAACTTCACCTGACTTCTTTTGGTCATCTAAAAATTTTAATATTGAGAACACAAGCTTCTTGACATCAGCCATTTTACTTTTTTTGCCTCAGACAATTTTCAAGTAAACTGAGAAAAAAAAACAAGTTAACAGAATTAGTGATTGCTTCAAATAACCAAAGGATGACAATACCAAGTAACATAAGAATCAGATGCATTTATTTTTAAAAATAGGATCAATATATAAATAAAAAGTTTAATGGAGACAAAAAACAGATTTGAACATTAAAAAATAATGTAAATTAGAAACAACTCTACATTTCAACACACCAATCACAGTAATAATAGTAACAATAATTTCAGCTGACAATACAGAATAATAGTGAGTTTTCAATTATACTGATCATGCTGCTTAGGTTAGTGATATAATCTATAAATATAATTCTCTTCATGGGAACCATACGAGACACCACCGCTCTCTAGGCATATAGCTACCAATGGAATTAAATGCCATTAGGGCCTAACAGTTTTCACCATGAACTTTTTTTCTGTGATGGAAAGGTCTCAAAATCATAAAATACATTTAACTAAACCTAGCATTCCATTTTTAAATCTGTGCTTTGAGGTGCCAAATATATGTGCTTATAATTTAAGGGTAGTAGTAACATAAATGACTTCTCACTGCCAGGGGTGGTATGGAACTACATCCCCAAACATCCAGCTCTAACAAACAATTAGTAATTTAATAACAACCCAATTATCCCTCACCCTTTTAAAAACCCATAATTGGAGACGACTAACAAAGGAACTGAACTGTGGTAAGTATTTTAGTTTAAGGGCCTAATTAATTTTAGTAGGCCTATATTGTAGGAATAGCGAATCAGAAAGTAAAGTCACAAAAAGCAGAATACATTAAAAAGGTAAAGTCGGTGATAAAGTTTAATACAGATTATGTACTCTAACTGTAAAGGGTTAAGTCAAGTTAATGAAGTTAAGTGTCTAGGCATACTGTTTCCTTAGCATAGGCTGTAGAGTGACTGTGTAACACTGTGTAGTGTAGAGACTGGTAGAGTCAACCAAACTAAAGCTGTAGTGTGAAATTCTTAGTCCTAACCCAACAGTATGAGTAATAATACTAATGGCCACTTCGGTAAAACTCCATTTTAGCATATTTTATTTGCCGTTTTACGTTCACCTCCAGTTGACTTATTTTATTATAAACACAACCGAAACACATAAAAACGTTAGGAAAACGCTAGGATTAGAGCTAGATCTACTTATTTATTTTTTTTTATAAATGCGAGTTTTAATTAGAAAAGGTAAAATAAAAAATAAAAAAAGGACGGTTCCAATTAAATAGCGTGTGATCATCAGCGTGAGAAAAATCCCTACGCGGTCAAGGGTTCACTGTGAGTTCATATTGACTTTAATTATCAGCATACTTCATATCTAGGGCAATAACTATTTGAAATGGTGTTGGGCTCAGTTTTGGGGTTATTGTGAGTAAAATATTTTAGTATCATGCGTGGGAGATACTTAAAACAATATAAACTTAACCACCTTGCAATTATGAGTTTTGTACTTCACCCATTGCTATGAATATCTTAACTCTTAACTTAACTAACACACAAACATAGCACATTCAATATTCCAAATTTCGAATTTTCTGAAGTTTTAACAAAAGTAAATCATCAAAACCAAAACAAAACTTCAAAAAGAAATAAGCCCAATATTTTCCTACCGTTTTTGTGTATTTCAGTTGTGTTTATAATAAAATACACTCAACTGGAGGTGAACATGAAGCGGGGAACAAAATACGCTAAAATGGAGTTTTACCAGCCACTTCACTGTTTTTCCTTAGCTCTTTCTAGTTAGGCCTTTACATGATTCATTGATTGTAGATCTAGATCTATAGTTGTTGAGTGAGTGGAGACCCATGCCACTAGGGTGTCCCCACCTGAGTGAGTACCTAGATTTCTACCTCCTACCTAGATAAGATCTAGATCTACCTACTCTTTCTTACTCACTCTTACTCTTGACTTGCTTGACTCTTGCACTAAAAATTCTGATTTTGTTTTTTAAAGTTAAAGCCCAAACTAATCCTAATCGATACAAACTAAAATTACTTTGAAAATTATCTAAATAACTGTTATAAGTTACCAGCTGGGAAAACGTGATGACTTTGATGAAGACTAAAATAAATATTAAGGCCCACAAGCTTATTTAGAGGACTACCAACCAACACTGCCGTTGGTGATTTTCATTATATTTTGTCAAAAAGAATAATCTCCCTTAAAATAATGGTTCACGCTACTTCCGGAACGATAAAAAAGCTTCAAGGAAAACCGACTAGCCCATAATAGTCCTAGTATTGCATACAGATTTAAATCTATTATTTAACAGCAGATTTTCTCCACGAATAAATTGCCTTTTATAATACAAACGTATAATTGTGATCTCTTAAAAATCGATTAAAATAGGATACTAATGAAATCGCTTAAATTTTAATTATACTGATTATGATGGGATTTCATTTGCCTAGGCTAGGACTAACTTAATCCTATTTTTTTAAATCCCAAAACCGAATATAGCTACTCACCCTGGTCACTGACGATGCAATATGCCTACTACGAACACAAATACTCCACTATACTCTCAGCCACACAGCCCAAAACAATTATTTGCATCTGATTTTAAAGTATCTAGATAGATTTATACAACGTACACGTTGCTTAGTGGTCTTTTAAACAAAATCTATCTGAAAAAAAAATGATATTTAACACAGGCCCTGCTAAAGACCGCACCATTAATGAAGATGTGAGTACTATTGCAAATGTTGCTTAGCCTTTTGTATTATTATTCATTAAAAGGTGGGCGTGTGGTGTACTGTTAAATAATGAAATATGTTTAGAAATAGTCAGATGCAATTTACTACCCTATCTAATGAAAAAAAAATACGTAAACTGTAATCGATCTTCTATGCACATTACAAGTTATTTTATTTTTAAAAAGTAATATTTCTTATGCAGTAATGTAAGAAAATAATATTTTTCCATGTCTTTTTCTTTCGTCCTTTTGTTACGTTCTCGCTTGTGCGCTATTTGGTCCATTCTCATTGGCTCTGTGTGCGCCCTTACCCATAAGGCTCACATTATTTTGAATTGCGCATGCGCTAAAAAATCAGAAATGGGATCCCGACGAGCGTGTGTTGACCTACTGAGAAAGTAGGGTTTAATAAAGAATTACAATTCTAACTTATCATTGATTTAAAAGTGAATAGTGTGTTTTAAAACTATTATTAGTTAAAATATTAAAATCATGTTCCAAGAAAACGAAAAAGAATGGATTTTGGAAGCTATTAACCATTTGAAACACAGAAAAGCTCGTCCCGATTTATCTAGGATTAGCCTGCGGATGAAAAGGAAATATCTCATGAGTTTTGCGCAAACAAAAAAACTTCTTGAATCTCTAATTGAAAGTGGTATTGTAGTAAAAGCTGTTTACAAGAATAATACGAGCTATAGAGATGTTTCAAAATGGAAGAAAGGACGCCTAGGTGGTCAAATTTTAAATTCTAACAAAATGTTACTAAGGTTTATAAGAGCTATCGAAGCGACCGAAAAAACAAAAGGCACGGGTGTTTCAGCAAAATGCATCGAGGATTATTTGGCCAGTCAAAGTGAAGAAAAATGTTTTTTATCGGGAGCTGCCCTAAAAAATGCTTTGGAAAAAGAAATAAGTAATGGATTTTTAAAGAAAAGAGTGCATGGACCTGTACTGCATTATTATGTAAACCCAAAAAACTTAGAAAATTTGCAACAGCAAGTCTCCATGGACGATGAAGACCAAAGTCAGAGTGAATCAGCTGAGTGTCAAAATGAAGGTAATTCACCTGATAATGATATTACAAATATTAGATCTAGACTTAATGATAATAATGAACATTCTCAATCATCTGCTGAAATTGGACTGCTTCTCTCAAGTGTTCTTAATGCAATAAGTGAAACTGAACAATCAGAAAATGCAGGTTCATCTTTGCTAGACATTAAAGAAATACTTGTTATGAAAGGAATTAGGTTTGCAGATGATATATTTCTAACAGAATTTTTGGAAAATGCTGTAAAGAAGGGATTATTAGTTAAAAATGATCAAGGTCCAGTTGCATTTTATGCGGAAAATAAAAACAGCACTAATAAATATAAACTTTGTGATGCATCAGTTGAAAAACCTGAATGTACTGAGACTGAGTATGAAAAGAATACTTCTTTAACAAAATGTGTAAATGAAGAATCACAAGAGTTGGATTCAGCAAACTTAACAAAACCATTACAAGGAACTTGGTCCGGAGAATATCTACAATTAAACTTAAATTCAGCTATTCCATTACGCCCACCATCAAAACGCAAGGTAGGCCTGTTTAGATTAGAATAAAATCTGAACTAAAATGTTGCCGTATGAGTATGACCATTTTGGAAAGCTTATTAAATTATTAATCCATCTTTAATTGTATTTTTTTAAAGGCTTTTTTTTTTATTTAGAGGATAATGAAAGATCATGGTCCAGATTTTGAGATTGAAATGCCAACCAAACAAAAAGCAAAACATACATCAGGTAAAAAAAAATCAGTAAAAGTCAATTTGTTTTACAAACTAGGCCTATTAGCTTACATGAGCTTATTCTCTCTATTCTTTTATTAATACAACCTATGACCTATAGGCCTACTGACTATTGGCTACCACAATTACAGAATAACAATATATTAGACTTATTATTTACTAGTATAGAGTTTGATTCAGTTTTCAAGTAACTAGAATGTCCCTGAATCTGCCCAGCTGTGATGTGTATCTAACTCATGTTAGGGAAACAAAAAGGGTCATAGTGCTGACTACACCATCCTTTCATATGCCAAGGTCTCTGAAGCAGATGAACTCTACTTCATCTGCCCCAATGTGCCTTGTGCATGAATGGGAAAAGAGGGTTTACCAACAAATAGGGTCAAGTTCAGATACTGATAGAGCCTATCTTACAATATAGGCCTAAGAGTTGAACAGTTCCACACATTCATTGTCATTTCAGACAACAGAGATTCAGTCTACCCAACGCCAGTAGATTCTCCTGCTAGTGAAAAGTCAGAGTTAAGCATGTATCAAAGGTATTGTAGGCTAATTCATTTATTAATGGTAATTAGGTAATAGAATGAGTGCCTGTTTTTAATTTGTTGAAGTATATATTTAAAATTATGGTGTATAATTTTCTGCATGTTAAACCTGCTAACTTTTGTTTGTTTTATTCACATTCTAAATTTGTTGGTTATACTATCATCTTCTTTAAAAAATAAATAGTTATTAATACGGTTATAATACAGTTATTTGTAAACACATTAGTGACATCAATACCTTTTCTACAATAAATTCCAGCTTTAGCTTTGACAAGAAAAAACGAGGGAGGCCTAAAAAGTCTAAATCAACAAATTTAGATTCTTTTGAGGACGACTCCAAACATGGTGGATTGTCTGAGCTCTCTGTCACCTGCATGGAGGAGGAAGAAAAGACGAACCACTCGTCTTCCTACCCTGATGCCAGTGGCTGGACAGCACAGCAAGTGGCTGAATATTTTTCCAATAAAGGTTACACGGATGAGGCTCAAAGCATGCTTGAACATGTAAGTATGGTTAAATTGTCAATTTACAGGATAAACGAATATGTTCTCAAATAACTGTATTGCTGATATCAATAAACTAAAGAAATGAGCCTATATCAGCTATGCTTAAATAAGAGACTATTTCTTTACAAGTCTCACACAATCAATTTTACCAAAAGTATGGGGGTTAAGTTAGGTTTTTTTATTGGGGATATGGTTTATGCTGAAATTTTAATATTAGAAAATCATCTACTAGTATAGCATTGTCTGGGATTTCAAACTTTGTTGGATTGTTTAAGAAGAGATCAATACTTGAAAACCACATTTATCTTTAATTTGATACCAATTTCAATTATTAAAATGTATCCTTAACCTAGGTAATGTTATTTTTTTTAAGTAAAAAATGTTTGTTGAATGGTCACTGTGCTAAAACTATTTCCTTGTAATGTCATGTTTGTCTTTTGCTGAAATATATTAAACTAATAAACTACAAATAGCAAGTGTACAATTTTTTTTTTTTTAAATTGAAAAGAAAGCTTTTGTCTTTTCTGTTGACTCCATTACCAAGGCAGTTGTGTGTAATAATGATGTATGCAACTTATATTACATCTTCTTTTTATTACATCTGTTGTTAGGATTTGGATGGAACTGCTCTTGGGCTACTGAGGCGATCTGATATTGTTGGGCCCCCACTTGGTGGAATACTTCATATAAAAAAGTTGGGTGTAGCACTGAAACTGTTTCGAGACATTAGGGATCTGTTGTATCAAGGCAATGCTGAAAACTATTTGGATCCTTATGAAGAACGAGCTTTTATGAGATCTTGATAGTATTATTGTAGGAAGTTTAGTAATATCAACTGTCTTAATTTTGTCTCAGGAATAGTTTTTGTTTTGTTTTATTTCATTAGTGATTTTTACTAAACAGTGAAACTGCTTAATTTTTTCATGGTGATATTTTATACATGCATAGAGTGACTGGTATGATTTTAAATTTTTAATTCTTTTAGCACCAGTCAGATGTAGACATTTATTTCTGAAATTTGAGTTTTTAGAGTAGTTCACTTGTTATTATTTAATTAAAATTGTATTATTTTTAATCTTTAATTCAATGAGTTTAATCTTTAGGCACCTTGGTTACAAAATATGTATTTGGCAAGTGAATTGTATATGCATTTTGTAATTCATGATTTGGTCTTTCAACTTACTATAGAAACTGGTGATTGCTCTTTTACTTGTACAGGTTTTTGTTGGAGCATAGCATGAATTGTATGATTTTAGCAACCGATTTTTCTACGCAAGGGCTAATATTTTCACCTAGTCCTTCAAATAATGTGAATATACAGTTTTTGTACAGCATAGTCTGTATTGAGGTGTCCACATATTTATGAATAAAAAGACAAGGATACCAGTGAGAACTGTACCAAAATCTAACCTTGTATGAACGCAATAAACAGGTTGTCATTGCATCTGGCATTTAACTTTTGAACTAGCCTGAAACATGAATACATCTATTTATATATTGAGCTGATTTTTTAAAGAATGACTATGTATGTATTTTTTGTTACAATTCAGATATAGCTTATGTTAAGCTATTATGGTGTTTGTTTTTATTTCTTTTTTTTTTAAATTGTATTTTTGGCCAGTGATGAGGCATTTTCTCTTTATACAATATTTGAAGATGTGCATAGCACATTCTTGTTAAGATTTTGCAGTTCGTTAAAAAAATCTGAATGTTTGGAATGTTTAAAAACATTTGCTGTTTAAGATTTTTATGAAAAGGTCACAATTACTGAGATTTTTATTTCATTAAAATTTTACTAATTGAAAATTCTCAAAGGTATAGAATCCTTTGAAATGTCATTTATAAATAGATTTTTACCTTGTGTCCTATGTATTGATCAATATATATTTATAAATTTCTCACATATGCCACCTATGATACACCAAAGAAATTTGTCTAAGATTTTCTAGAAGTACCAGCACTTGGTGTCAGAATGATTTATCATACAATACATATTGCAGACTAAGCTTGAGATAATATAAATCTGATCTGATATTTGAAATATTTCCCAACCCTTGAACAATTCCAAAATACAAACAAATTTTTTTGAGCAAAAATATGCATAAATATTGCAATGTTTACGGTTTCTAGACCACCCTACAGCAAATCATTGTCTAAATATTGCAATTATTAGCTTTCTGGATAGTTCTATAAAAATGTGTTTAAAAGGAGCTGTTTATTTTCAAGAAATTATATTCACATGTAGCAATTATGTAGTTTGACTACTTATTTAAGAAATTCAAATTACACCAGAACCTGACAACCACATATTTTGTCTAACTATGTAAACATCTATTTACTTCCTAGTGCAATACCAGGTGCACATATAAACATGAACATTTCCATGTAATGACTGTAAATAAAGGTCTTAATTTTAGAAGCAACCATTCTGTTTTTCATTCATTTTTATTTTAACAAGAAACAAACAATAAGTAATCTGTATAAATAGTGTGCAAGAGAAAAATATTTACAGAAATAAATGCTAAGCTAAACTTGCATAATCATTTAGTAATTTAAAAAAAAAGCTTCCAAGAATGATTTGATTGAAGAATTCTGTTGAAAGCTAGCCTGTAAAAGTGGGCACAAAATGTATATTTGCTTTGTTGTAAAACTTGTGAGCAGAATTGGAACTAATGGAACACAAAGCAGACTAGTTATGTGAGAATAAAATGATTAAGTACCAAATTTCTCTTAGATAACAATAACTATTCAACTATCACAATCAATATAATTTTGGCATCAAAGGCTTTGATCCTATACTAGTAATAAGTTTGTCCATTTGAAACCACATCATCTGGTGAGCATTTAGTGCAACAGTGTCTGAAAACAACCTATGGGACTCCATAAATATGTCATTACTGAGAGGTATCACATGATTTGTAAAGGGGAGGGGTAGTTGATACTTGTATTTCAAAAAGTAATTAACACACAAAATAGACCTGCATTTATGGACAACTAATAACTGACCAACCACCAATTAAAATCTTTTGCTCCATAATAAAACCATTGTTCTATTTCACCACATAATTTCTACAAAAACCTAGCCACAAATACATAGTCCCTGGTCTGAAGGACAGTTTATGAATTGTACAGCATGTTTATCTATAAATGTATCTAGAAATTGACTTCAGCTATTTATAAAGTCTTTAGAGGTTCCACATTCAACTGTGTTGCCAAATCTCTCTGTAAAAAAATAATAAAACCTTTATTAACTACATATGCTGCTTAATACTAATGATAGTTTTGAAATAGAATTGATTTTGATAGAGTAAGTTTGGTGGATGCACATATAGCAGACTTGCTGAGAATGGCAGCATTCTTACATGCTGAAGTTAGTGTCAGGCATTCATGCTGACTTTTCTAGTTAAAGCCATTAATTTTGTCATAAGATTTTCTATATTTTTTTGTACTAATGGTTACTTAAATTACATAAGAAACACAAACTAATGATTTTGTTTGATTCAGCAAATTAAATCAACTTGCAGCATACTCAGAGTTTCTTCCAGGCATCTCTTCCGGGGGGCTAAGTCCCCCCCGAAAATTTTTTACTGCCCCCCCCCCCCCCCGAACGAAATGAATTTTATATAATTTATATAGAAAATATATACTTTTAACAGTGTCCACCCCCCCCCCCCGAAGAAAGTCTACTGCCCCCCCCCCCCCCGAAAATTTCAAGTGACACCCCCCCCCCCCCCCCTGAGAAAAAAGTCTGGAAGAAACACTGAGCATACTGCTTATAGTTTGGGTGATATGGACATTGTTCACTTTTATTGGAAACATAAGTTTGTAAGTACAGATACTAGAATTAATAGCCAACTTACAGCATACTGAATTTGGTTAGGGTGGTATGGGATCCCCCCAAGTTTGTCACATTGTTCCATATGTTTCCTCTCTGGGTCACCAGGTACTAGAACTTCTGTCTCACCCTCTGCCTATCAATAAAAATATTAACGACCATAGAGGTATAGTTAAAAAGCATCATAGTTAATAGAAAACACTCAGTATTGCATAAATAAATTTCTTACTGGCTCAAGATTTCTCAGTGTGTCGTTCAATTCTGTGATCCTATCAGTGAATCCTGGAGCAAAGGCAGCTGGATTGATTGCTACAAAACACTGACCCTAAATTTCAGGGAACAAAATTGAGCAAACATTTTTAACTCTGCAACTACTTAACATTTAGTAATATAGTTTATCTTTTATTGGTTTCTTTTAGTAAAATTTACTTTTTAATTAGTTTTGGACAATAGCTTTTGGTTATTGTTAGCCCAAAAAATGTTTGTGTAGTTTTACCATAGATTTTATGTGTTGCTTCAAAAAATAGTAAAAAAAACTATCCAGCATTTATAATCAGTTTCCAAATCAATTTTCTGGTGGTTATACTAATATCTATAAACAATTGGGTAAAAAAATACATATTTTATGGAATGAGATAGGGACACCCTTGATTCTTTTTGATTTTCATGGGAGGTGGAGGGACAAGTATCCTAGGTAAACCGTTGATTTACCTTGGAATTTGAATAAATTGTGAATAATTATTTCTAGGTGTCACCAAGAAAAATATTATAGCAAAAAACTTTAATAAGTAACAGTCCAGATAAATTATTAGACAGTCGTAGTTATTGCAATAAAATATTACAAGATTTACAAATAAATTTTTTTACTCATCAACAAAATTTTTTAAGATCTGATGTTTAACTTACTAGGTTAGCCTCCTTTTCTGTAGTTTTCCATTTTCTGATTTTCCCTCCAAAATCTGCACCACCCAAAATCCCACAGAAGACTTCAACCATCATAGATAAACCATATCCTTTGTAACCACCTACACAATTAAAAGAAAAAAGCATATCCTAAGAAACCATCCAGTTTAAATGATAAAAAAAGCCATACATTTTATAGCCTTATAGGAAATTACAGTTACAGGATAAATAATTTTCTATTTAACCATCTTGTTAACTGTATGAACAAGGATTTTAAATGGTCCCATTACATTTTGACATCTCAAAAGTGAGCACATTTTTTAAACTTAGTAGGCCTACATTTGAATTTTAATGTGAAATAATTTCAGTCCCTGTTTTTAAAAGAGCATCTGACACATAAGATATAGATATGGGATTACATACTGCATTCTTCTGTGCCACCTAGTGGCATTAATCCTGTGGCTTTAGATGGGTTTGTTGTTGCCTGTAAGTTCATTTTTTAACACACATAAGTAAATGAGTTACATAACATCAAGCTTTAAAAAAAACTTAACTTTTAAGTAAAAGAAATAGATGCATATTGATTTTAATCCGAACCAAGTAAAAATATCAACTTGCCCTGCCAGTAGTGTCACATCCCCATCCAAGTGGAATGTCCAGCCCCTTTCTTTCATTCAGCTCCAACTGGTGAATTTATTTTAGAGTCAGAAACAAAATAGTTTTTTATTACCATTAAATATATGAAACCAATGGTAAGGGAAATTAAACTTACAATACAGTAGAACTATAAATAGTAATCTCCTAAAGGTGATTCACATTTTAAGACAAAATTATTTTTACAATAATAAAAAAACTCTCCTTAAATAATATAACTAAAAATCATAACACCTTACATAAAATAGAAATTTTAAAGAGCTTGGCCAATTTTAGATAGAATATTATTTTTTTGTAATATTCAGAAAACTACACATTTATCAGTTGATAAAAAAAAATCTGCTGACCTTTCCAAGAGCAACTGCAGTAGTAGCCATGTCTAAGACAAAACTGTCACCATTGTTGGCTGGGGCAGCACATGCTATAGGGTTTGTGCCTAAAGTAGCCTGTCATGGGGAATAAGTTGTTACTGATGTTATACAATGTAATGTAGTGTTATGTTATGTAACCAGGTGAAAATATTATAATTTTCTATGTATATCTGCAAATTAAATTATGTATTTATATTAAAGGGAGGGTAAAAAGATTTTTTGCTTGTTGTTTTTTGTTTACTTCAATTATTTCCCTTAAAGCTGTGTTTCTGTGTCAAATATATAACATTGACATTAAATTAAATATATATATAAAGTATGGAAAGTGATTTAGCTGAGTTACTGTTTCGAGTTTGTAAAATAATAAGGGAGGTACAATTAAAAGTAACAAGGGAGGTAAATATTAAAAGTTAATGTTTGCTCTACCTTCTTGGCTCTGGTAGGTACCATCAATGGAGATGTATTAGTGAATGCCATACCCTGAAAAAAAAAAGGTTTCACATAAATTGTGAGTAAAATACCTTTTACAAATTAATATATAAATGTCTAGGAAATAGATTTTTGTCTTTAAAATAATACCCAAATTAAGCATTATTTTGACATTTACTTGTCATTTGCTTTTTCCAAAAATGAAACACTTCAATTTAATTATTTTATTTTTATTGCAGTCTCTCCTTTATGTTTGCTGCAGCAGAGATTTAAAAAAAATATATTAAATAATATACTTAATTCTTTACATGAACACTATTATACATTACTGTCTTAAAGAATCATAGTATCTTGAATGCCAGATAAAACTTACTATCATACCCTGCTGCATTGCCCTTATGGCATACCATCCTGCTATACCAAAATGATTTGAGCCTGGAAGAAAATGGAAACTGAATTTTTTTTTTAATTCGTATACACCATAGCCCGCACAACATTCATTTCAACCATGTGTTTCATTGGTTGATTTAATTTAGTTAGTGTTCACTCTCACACTATTATTTTCCAGCCATTGTAAAAAATTTAAATCTATTTTACTAACCTTTAGCAGAAACCCAGCCAATGCCACTTTCCTTTGCTTTTTTAATTGCGATGTCTATACAAAATTTTCCAACCACTGGTCCTGGAATTATAAAATGATGAGACAGTTATCAGCTAGTATCAACAGTATGCCACTTGGATCTCCTACAAGTAATGATCAAACGTGGTCGTGGTAATAAGTTATCTTATCTTTGACAGATTTGGGGTCGCTCATGGCATCCCTTACACATTTTATAGACTAAAGCAAATTTTTGTTTTATTTTAAAATTTTCAGGCATTTAAAAGTTTCTGATTATAACGTTTTATTAATATTTGTTTTATTTAACAATCCCTGATGAACACCATTACTTCCACTACAATATGTTGACCAATGTTGTGAAGTAAAAAATTATTTCCAAAAACCTGCAGAATTTTACCACTCAAGGGAGACAACCCACCTAGCACATTATTTCCATCTACAAATGCAGTTGCTGCTGTTTCCTTGACTATTTCTGGTTCCTTGTCACTGACACACATCTTGGCCTCAATGTCTTTCACATACATGTCTATGAGATAATCCAAAACAAATAGGTGTTAATTTAAATAAAACAGTATTTTAAAAAGACAACAACTAATAAAACAATGAGTTGTCTTTTACTTTTAAAATATTGATGCACAGTATAACACAAACTAAATATACTGACTGCTCACAAAACCAAATTATTATTTCAACAAGTTATGAATCTAATAAAAAGGTGAAAAAATATTGATTAGTATTTCCCTGTGTGCTTACTTACACTTACAGATTAGCATTTACCTAATTTACAAGGAAAATGACTTTGATTTGTGGTATGTTTAGGGTTGAATAGGGGGTATTGGGTAACTTGCCTGGTGGGCAGGAGTGGACTGTTGTTTTAAAAAAGCTGGGGAAAAAAGCCCATATCTGACTTTAGTTTTCTATTTTTCCACAAAGCTCCTGGTGACCTACCTGGATTCTTCCAGGTGGGCAGGTCTACCACTGCGAATGAGTTCTGTAATTGAGGTTATTTATTGCACATTGAGCAGTAAATTTTAATGAATTCTCGAACAGGGGAGACAAACCTAGGGTTATCTATCTTACCCAGCCTGTTGAGTCCATGACTGTAGTGACCTCTGTAGTCTGCAGCCACCAGAAGGTCAGCCAAGGCACTGGCGTGGTCAGGTTTTGTGCCCACCTTGACCATGCACCTGGTGACAAAGGCGTGCATCTCTTCACGGGCTACGACGCTTTCGTTAGACGCCATCTTCAACACGCTCATCAAACGAAAGTACGATCTCGTTGTCAGCTAAAAATAAAGCAAACATTATTTAGCGAATATAGGCAGATCAGATTAAAACGAAAATAAGTTTGCATTTTGCTGGAAGCGCATGTTAAAAAAAATAGTGAACCGATTAAATTATTACACTTTCGTAACTAGATCTAGGTAGAATAAGAAAAAGTGCATTAAATAAACACAATAAAACTATGCTTGCAAGTGCAACAAATAAAATATTATAAAAAAAACATGCATGCGCCTACACTAGAAAAATTCTACTGTTGCAGTATAAACGTAGATGAAGATGTGTTGGCTCAGTTTGGTGCACGTATGCGAGTTTTAATCCAGCGTTGCCACGCAAATGGCTGCTTCCCAGGGTCAGGGTTTTGTGATAAAGTTTTTAAACCAGCACACAGATGGACCGAGGTCATAGTCCTTACTCGTGTACAGCGTACACATTCCACAGATTTCCAAAACAAAAACAAAACACACATGACTGGGGTGTTATGTTGTGGTAGGCTAGTGTTTGCAAATTAGTTGCGCTTAGTTTATTATTTAATAGTGAGTTAACAGGCCGATTGTAATTGTGTTTTAAGAATAGGTAACACGTCCGTTCGTTTATATTTGATAAACCTATTTAGCACTGCTGACTGTGGGGCCCTGGAACATGTTATCTAATTCCTGCTTTGACCCAGATCTAAATAGAACACATGTACTGCATGGTCACGTGACATATTATACCGTTACATTGTGTATGCCATTTAAGCCAGGATGTAGGCTACTAGGCTATGATAGTACTACCATGTAGCTGGGGATGCTTAATGAGGAGATGGAGGTGAAATTGAGTTAAATTAAATCTTTTAGTTGTCTTAATGTATGGACCATGTGTTGACAGACTCAGTACATTTAATTATAAAATGAAACGAAGTGTAACAGTGTTGAATTAAAAATTAAGTGTAGAAGATATCTATTATCTACTATCTAGGGCTGTGTACGTGTTGCTCGAAAACAGTCCGCGTTCGTGAGGTGTTCATGTTAGATATATTTTACTGTTAACCTACATGTCTAGCATAAATAATTGACATGCAAACTAAAAAAAAAAAACCCCGCCGAGTGCAGTTCTTACCTTCATTCTCAGTGTAGTCTCAGTTTAGCCGTGTTGTTATCATGAACACGTCTAACCCGTGTTGGCAGCGGTTCGCGAACTTTGTCGTCTGCTGTTTTGTAGGCATAGGCCTACAGGCCAACAATACCGATTGTAACTGCACACTCAAATAAAACAAAATTAGGACATAGGTCATAGGTGTTTAAATATTTAGACTGGAACAAATTTTAAAACCCAGACTGTATTTCTTGGTCTCAGGCATAGACATAATGAATATAAGTTATTATATAAGACATACATGAGAGCAGAATATACTGTAAATTATTTCCTGGTCATCACGCCCCCACCCCCACCGCCACTATACTCTTGTCGATAGTACTGTATAGTAATTACGTATATAAAAACTATATTATAGGCCTACACAACAAGAAAACATTTAATATTGTGAAGCAAAAACAAAGTAGGTCTGTAATCTGTTATGTTAACTTTAAGTCTTAAGTGTGTGATCCAAAAGTTAGTTGCACAAGAAATGGTTTTAGGGAAAAGGGGCAGAGGCGTAGCGACCCCTTCCGCCCGCCGGGGTGAACTATCAATTTTGTGCCCCTCTCCCATTTATTCACATTAGTGAAAAAGCGCCCCCCCCCCCCCAGTTAAAAGGTTGGTGGCGCTTTTTACCAGTCACTAGTTTTTGCTTTTGTGCCACACTTTGACTTTGTGTAATTCAATACTTCAGCTTAAAATGAGCATTTAAATATATTTTTCTACCCCTTTTGGCGCCCCCTTAGGGTAGGTACCCAGGCCTGTCGCCACACACGCCTTCCCCTTGCTAAGTCACTGATTAGAGGTGGGTAAAACTAGGGGTTAATTCAAAGGAAGGTAATTAACCTGGAGTGGTGGAATAAAAGCGAAGAAATGACTGGGTTTTAATGGCAGAAGGGTAACATCCTAGATCCATAAACACAAGCAAATATTTAGACTGCACACCTCTAGTACTATACATACAGATAACCAAATAGATCCACTCTTCACCCTATGCCAAACAGGTCTTTAACATGATATGACAGCAATCACAGGTGAACTCTACTTCAACACTCCATAGGCCACAGGATCAGAAAGATGTATAATGTATACGTTGTCTCTGTTTATTAAAGGCAGTAACAGTTACACAATTTAGGTGCCAATTTTCTGGCAACTGTTTAGGAACTACAATTAAGAACTAAGCTTAAATCACGTCATTTTCTCTGCACTGCACATTGCCATTATACTTAAAAAACACATACACTTACTATATACATTAAATAGTAATGCAGGTTAGAAATAACAAATCCAGCATAGTGTGAACCCTGTGGTTATTAAATTTTTAATATACACTGAGTGTAATCAGAGTTATCTGACTTTGTCATAATACACAAATAAGAGTAAAAATTTATTGGATTTTTATACTTTTATTTCACAAAAATGATTTGATATGGTCTTATAAATAATACATGAATTTTATAGAGTAAAACAAAAAATACTTCATATATTATTATATTATGGCTATATTTTAAAAGTCTAAACTGCAAAAGGTTCTTAAACAATTTTTCTATATTTCTTAGTTCAAGGTAAATCTCAGCTTTAGGTAGTTTCAAAATATAAGATCTTTATTTAAATTTTATAAAATCAAAGTTTAAATTTCACAATTTTGTTACTTAAAGTAAAGTTCCTCTCAGACTTGATGATTCACCAGGCAGAAGAAATAAAAGTCCATCCATTTGTTTTATACCTTGCTGTATGATGGGATAATGTGGCCAGCTTTATGCCCATCGTGTAGTTAACTTGCATTTTAAAGTATTTGTAAAAAATTCAAAACAAAATTTTGATTAATAAGCAAATCAATTTACAATTAAATTGGGCCTGTGTGCTCAATATACTACCAAAATATGTACATTTGAATAGAAATATAGCTAAGATAATTTTATAATTTATATTTTTGAAATTCAACTATGTAACAAAAACATACAGTAGACAAAAAAGACATCAGTATAAAAAAAACATTGGACAAAAAAATCAAAGAGATCTTATAACAGACCTCTGCTAACATCTCGAACCAGCCGAGCAAAATATTTTAGTACATTATTTTTTAATATTACATTTTTTATTTAGATTAGCCCACAAATTATAGGTCATAGGAATACTTAATAGGATAACCATTAAGCTTAAACTGTAAGAGTTTATAAATTATCTGCTAGTCAATTATGACAAAGAAAGAAACAAGACAAGGAAAATTTTTAGTCAAGTTTTTTGAAGGACAGTTATGAAAAATAATGCAAAAAATATAACAGAAGAAAAAACAAGAAAATATACAGTATAAATATACATTTAACTAAAGTTAATTAACATATTTTGTTCTTAATAATAATATAAAAATAGAATCGCTTATGCCCAGTAATGTACAAAATGATGATTTAGCTTGGCAGATCATTTTCCATGATTATGTTCAGATAAAAAAAAATATTGTCATTTAGGCACAATCCTAATTATTTTACATTTAATGCACATATATACATTTTTTAATACATTTAAAAAGTGTAAAATCAATTCTAGTCATTTATACACAATATTTGTAACTGTGATTTCTACTTTCTCCTGTGTTATGAATCAGATCCCTCTCCAACACCAATAATGGCCATGACAGCAGCGGCCAAAGACGCCACCACAACACAGTGGAGTACAAGAATGACGCGCTTGATTAAGATTGTCTGGAAACAATAAGAATTCAAACTTGTTTTTCCGTTTTAATTCAATTTCATTATTACCACTAGAAAATTATTAGGGTCAAAATATTTTAATAATAATAGTTAAAAATAAAAATAAAAAAATGGAACAAACCTTTTTACTTTCGGAGCCTGGGGGATTAACTTTCGGGTTGTCAGAACTTCCCATCTCATAAGTATCTTGAGTGACTGCAATAAGCAACATAAATATATCCTAGTGTTATTTACTCAGCCACACCTTGTTTTATTTATTTTAACAGGATATAAATAAAATAATAACAAAAACTTCAGTAAATAAATATATACGAGTAAGGCATGAATTGATGCCTTATTTGTTTTATGATTATAATGCACAGTATCATTCTGATCTGAGCTCTAGAAAATTTAAATTTGTGTTTATTTCATGCAAGCTACTTATACATATTTTCTGTGTCTTTTTCATTTGGCTGAGATATTCTTTGTCTGACTTAACCTAATCCAACCTAAACCCAACTAATTAATCATCTTTTTGTCAGCTAAAATGTCAAGTTTTGCTTACTTATCCTCTTGTCACAGAGAGTGATCAGCTCCAATAAAATCTCTACAAACAAGATCCAGGCCACATATGCCCCTAAGATATAGACAGTGTAGTAAGGTGTGACAGCACCTCTGAGGCGCACACCAAAGAAAATGGCGATCACTGAAATGTAAAAAATTCATGTATTTTTTTTTTATTTCAATGAATATTATGAAAAAAAGACAAAATGAAAAAAAAAGGCTATCATACTGACTGTTGTTTGAAATACAGTAAAACAAAGGTAAATTTTTTAAAATGTCAACTTACCAGCCAATATATGAGCAGATACTCCCACAATGAAATGGGCCCAGTTAAAGAGAGGTCGCTTGGGTGTGCCAGGGTCACAACGAAACAAGGACATGACTGGCTGCCAACACATTCAACAGTTGATTATTTACAACAATACTCACAAGGAACAAAAACAAATTTCTGTGATATGATTGTACACCAAAAAAGTTTTTTCACTATCATTATCATACTAAATAAAACAACAAATCTTGTACAACTGATTTTTTAAATTTTTTTATCTTACAAAGTTTTGTACACATAAATTATTATAAGTCAAAAACACTTGTTCATAAGCATAGAAAATAAACAACATAAACATAAAGATGGTTATAATATAATATTTATAGATCAGAATTAATAAGCACATGAAAGAATAAGGTAATAAACATTCTATTAATTAAAATGCCTAATGGTAATGTCATTGCAAGGAAGTAAAAGAAAAAAATTACATTAAGGACTGTCAGGATCATGACTATAACACCTATGATGGGGTGTCCAGATAAATACTCTGCCTCATTTTCAACCTGTAAAATAAATATATTTATTTGAGTTAAGATTAGACTTATTGGTTAAAATAAATTATGCAACTTGATAAGTAATAAAACTACAGAAGATATTTTCTATTTTAAAATTTTAGTAAATTTCACGAGCAAATTTGTCAAATTTTTTTTACAAGTAACTTGCCCACTTAAATCTCAATCTAGTTATCATGGTTTTGTTTACTTTACAAAATTAAAGAGAAAACAAAATCAAACACTGGATTAACCACTGGATGCAACACAATTTTTCATGACTTACTTTACTCCATTCCTTCTCCTCAACAAAGATAATGATGAAGCCAATGGCAGTTAAACAAAATACAAGCACCATACAGAGTCGGTGAATCTGAAAATTTTATAAAAGATAAAACATCAAATGAGGTCTAATCAAATTCCATTTTTTCACATTAAGCTATACTTAAGCCTTAAGTAGTTATATACATTGTAAATTAAGAGATATTTATTTGGGCAGATATGTTAAGTTTTAAATAGTTTTGAATATTGGTCTCTGCATATGTAAGCAGAACATAATGTATCCCATTAGGGTCTTTCATAAATAATACAATGGAACTGTAAGAGTGTAGGTAATCGGACTAGTGTAATAATATGCAACAAAGGAATAGAGGATGAAAGCTTGAATTTTATGCTTTTAGATCACAAGATCTACAAAAATGTGGGTTTTTTTTTAAAATAAAGAAAACATGTTAATTTGCATTAGAATGACAGTTTTTAAGTAGATATGATGTGAGATTTTTGTGGATGGGGATTTGGCTTATCATAACATGGAGAATAGGGGGAATAGATACTATGAAATGTATGCAGAACTACTGAGCACATATTTTAAACCAGAATGTATCACTGTTAATTGCTGGGTTTTGCAAAAGATATTAACATGTTTTCAGATAGCTTAAAAGATTGAGTTAGCACCAACCTGGAACCAAACTTTGAGAGATAAAATTGTGTTTTTCCACACAGGCTTGTAAAATCTGGCAGTGATGATCCCAATACTTGAAAAGATCAACCAAGCAGCAACCATCAAACAGCCTTCAATTAAAGGGCAAACATTAATTTAAAAAACTTTAAGATAAATTCTTGATTAATGTACTAGCTACTATTACTAAACTGCTAAATATTTGCACATTCTTGTGTTTTGACTTGAAAAAAAATCTTTAAAATTTAACTGTGGCTTTCTAATTAAATTTTATAATTTGTCTTATGAACACAAGTTGTATAGTTAAACTAAGGATTTTCATGAAATGTATACATTGTCATTAGCTTTACTACTTTAAATGTCTTGTCACTTTTTGTCTTCAATTATAAAATTCTATATATCATATGCACATCTTTCTCACATAAACCAAAGTGTTTACCATGGGCTTTATACATGGGATTACCCTCCCCCTGCACATTAACATTGCCTCTAAACTTAGAAGTGACAGCCGCTTCTGAGACATAGTTTTCACTTAAATGGTTGGTCAAACTAACTCCTGTAGCTGTAAAAAAACAAACAAAAAAAAACAACAACTTAGTTGAATAGATAAAATCTAGGTGGTAGATATATTTGTTTTATTAACATCAGCATTTTAATGAATACATGAACAGGAAGATAAACACAGATTATGCTGATTCACTTACCTACAAAGGCTCGTCCTCTAGCAAACAACAGGGTCCATGGTTGGCTTACATTAAAGAGCTTGTCTGAACCTCCTATATTTATAGGTCGACGGAGTGAACATTTCAGGACACCATTGTTGTAAGATTTTGATACTAGTTGGACGTTCTGGTGGATCAAGTATATACTTAATTAAAATATTGATTGACAAACATCTACAAAATAGGAGAATAAATTTAATGGTTAAATAAAAGATCAGTTAAAATTATGTATTAGTACAAGTTTTGATCTATAATTTTAAATGGTGTGTGTTTATTCCAACATAAACTTGATTGGTTTCAAAGACTATTTACTGTTAGTATTCAAAATAGTATGTTGTTTTAATCTAAAAAGCTGTATTATAAAAATACTTCGACTCACACCATCAGCAAAGGTAGAAGAAATTTTCCCCACATTTTCAGCAGTGAAGGACACAACTGTACCATTTGTACCAAAGGCACAACCCATCACACTGTCACCACCCTACAAAAATAAATCTTACTTTAATACTTTTAAATTTAAAGATGAAAATATAGAACATACAAAAGTAAAACTTAGTATTTTTAACAAAACATTTTTCAATATAAGCTATAATACAGCTTATGCATGTGTTAAGTGTGTAATATATTTATATGGATTTGAATTGTAAAAAATAGTAACTTTAAAAAAAAAATGAAAATCAAGAAGCAATCATCATAAAAAGTAAAGTTCCCTTTCATAGAGTTCACCTGTTTCATTATAGATTGATTAATAATTAATGATAGTTTTAATTTAAATTATTCATTTCTTTGTTAGTACATTAATATATTTTAATTCAATAATAACCTTACATCTCTTACATCTAACCAACATTAATTTTTAATTTGAAGTGCTTACCATTTTGGAGTCACTAGAAAAGCCAAGAGCTACATAGGAGCCATCAGAAAACTCAACAGCAGCTGTAAAATTGTAGACAACATCAGTTCCATCCTCCTTCCAACTCACAATAAACTTGCAGGTGTTGCCAGTACAAGATGTGAAACATCCTTTAGTTGTACCATCGCATTCAGGATCAGCAGCAACAGTTCCCAAACTCTGGGCTGTGGTAGCTAAAACAAATATCAACACGAAAAAGTACTTCAGTAAAACCAGGTTAAGAAAACTATTCACTTTTCTGTACACGTCTTTTTACTGAGTTGTTTCCCTTGATATCTTCTTACATCGCGTTTACACTTAGACATGTATATTATACATGTCGCAAGCGTAAACGCGGAAACACATATCAAAGTCACACAACTCATTAGCTCTCGTACTCTATTCTATCCTAGCAAAGTTAAAAACCAAAACACAGGATTCGTAAAAGTAAATGATTGTATCAAAAACGTTAAAATACCCGAAAGATAACTTACTTGTAGCAGTAACTGGCGTTTGTGTGGCTGGATTAAGCGAAGGTGGGTTACCGGAACTACCAGCAGGATTTAGCTGCCACGATGCTACATTTGTCCAGAATGTTACCTCTGTTTGTACAAATGTTGCCCTATCCAGGAAGAAATAAAAAGATGGATAATTTACAGACATTGTTTTAAAGGGGAACAACCCACTATAAAGAGTTCTTTTTCTTCTCGATCTTTTCACCTAGAGTTAACGGACATGTCATACAAGAAAAAAATGTTGACAAATAATACATCTGTTTCTGTCACCACTGATTAGCCTACAACACTGCAAAGTTTCTAGTGTCTGTATCAGATATGTCTGGGTGCTTTTGCTACACAAAGCCGTATTCGATTCCCATAATAAGGTTAGAGTGGGACGGAGTGGTCTAGCGGTAGAGAGCTGGACTGCTAACCCGTAAGTCTCGATTTCGAATCCGGGTTCAAGTCAGTAGACCGTACTCTGATGGGTACCGAACTCACGTTAGGGAAAGTAAAGGCGGCTGGGCATAGTGCTGACCACACTATCTCTTCATATGCCGAGGTCACAGAAACAAGTGAACTCTACTTCACATGCCGTCAGGTTTGAAAGGGAAACTTTACTACTTATTTTACTCCTTTAATAAGGTTAAAAAGACCATCTTAATTTATTAGAACTAAATTCATGTGGCATATGGTGCACGTCAGAAGCAACGAACGTCATTTAGTCTCTGGTGTACTTTGAGCTGTAGGTTCTTCAATGGGGCTGACCTGAGGACTGAGCTCAGGAGGGGAATGGGGCGCCAAACGGTGTAGAACAAAGAATTAAAAAACTATCTCAAGCAGCATTTCAGAATTATACACAATCAAAATTAAGGATGTTGACTGCCACTTGGCTTTACTGACTTCTTTAGCCATTTTCTACATCAATTGTATGGCACCAAACCAAGCACTATGGGACTGGTATAAAGCAAATAAGAATTTTTATATTTTGCGCACTATATAAATGAGGGATGGTGCGCAAATTTGATAGTTCGCCCCCTGGCGTCAAATTGGGTTGCTACGCCTCTGACTTTAACAACATGGGTTTATTTTAATTCTGTATTATTTAGTTAATGTTTTTAAGTGGGTCCAGATGTTTCACACTGAGCAGTCTAAAATAGGAAAATGTCTATTTACCTAAACACAACAGAATCAGCAGCATCGGCTGGTGGTATCCAGTTGAACGTTAAGCTTGTTTTGTCATTGCCTGATGAATGAACCAATGCCTGCGACTGTGTAAAGAAATATACTATGGATAAGTACTTGAATGAATTTACAAATGAGTTTACCCATAAAATACAAGAGAATCTAAATTTGGAAGATAGATTATTCTATAGCTATATAGCCTATATAGTTTTTTCACCCATTTTGGGCGTATACGGCAGATGAAGTAGAGTTCACATGTTACTGTGACCAAGGCATATGAAACTCAATTCACTACCAAAAAGCTTTTACTGTCTCTAACTTCAGTTAGGTACCCATGAGAGTTGGGGGATCTTCTACCGAGCATGAGACTTAGCAGTCCAGCGCCCTACCACACAACCACTCCACTCACCCGAATATAAATTACGTTTAGTAATTTCAGTCACAAAATGTCACGACATTCCACCTCACTCCATAAAATAACTTTAGCAAAATTTAACGTTTTTAATTTCTTTTATTTTTTTTTGGTAGGAAATTCAAAGTATGTAAGATTTTACATTATCATACCCCTCCCCACCTCACGTCATTTATACCAACTCTGGTAGCCTCCGCCCCTTAAAGATAAAAATAAATCATGCACCGTTAAAGGATGGTTTGATAGTTGAAAGCACACCTATCTATAGGACTAGCAAGTAATTATAGTTGGGTACTATTTAGTGTGTACCCACCCCGCTGCACGCCTGTCTTGTGTTATCCACAACTGTGAATGAGCCGAGCATTGTCGTGGAGGACCCGGCTGCTCTACGTGCTTGGATCATGAAGCCTCTAAACGGGGCTCCGCTGATGGTTACTGGGTGGAGGAAATGTGTTAACATTTTATTTTTAATGGAAAATGTAGCTGGTACATGAGTTTAGAAAACTAACAGACAGTCAGACAGCTGGATGGACAGACCAAGACCGAGACAAAGACAAGACCTAGGTCAAGACCAAGGCCAAGGCCAAGACAACGCTAGACCAAGGACAAGACAACGCAAGGCCAAGACAACGCTAGACCAAGGACAAGACAACACAAGCCCAAGGCCAAGGCAATGATCAAGCCCAAGCCTATGGCCAAAGACAAGGCAACGCAAGGACAAGGCCAAGACAACGCAAGACCAAGGTCAAGGACAAGACAATGCAAGACCAAGGCCAAGGACAAGACAACTCAAGACAGACTGGGAAAAACCAGACTTGTTGATGTGAGAGAATATAGATAGAGAATATGGATGGATGGGAGCCATATTATTAATTTTTTTTTAAATTGTAAGACAAAATCTCAACCATACAGATACGAAAAAAAAAAAAAAACCTCACCCGACACCGGCTGACCCGGGGTGTAAGACGCAGGGGTGAAGGAGATCGTGTAGGGCGATGTCGAGGTTTGTGCTTGCGCTCCATGCTGGGGCGTTAGATTTTCACAGGCCGGATCTAGGCCGATCCCAGTGTTGTAGCCCAACGCCGTTCTCACCGTGACGGCACAAATCAACACTATCGTCTGTAGCAGTAAGGTCATCTCTTGATCCTGTCATGTGATAAAATAAAAATTAATAAATTATAACTCATCATCTTTTCTCGTTCGGTCTCAAGATACATGGGGCAGATGAAGTAGAGTCCATCTGCTTCAGAGACCTCGGCCTTATGAAGGTCAGCACGATGCCCAGCTGTCTTGGTTTTGCCTAACGTGAGTTAGTTAGGTACCCATCAGAGCTGGGTGGACTCACGGACATTCTACTGACTGCAACCCGGATTCGAACTCAAGACTTTCGGGTTAGCAGTCTAGCTCACTACCGCTAGGCCACCCTGTTCCATCTTAGTTACGTTAATGCTTTCCAATCAGCGGGTTTTTTTTTTGGAGGGGGGGGGGGGGCTTTCGTGGTAGGATGGGGGTGTAGGGACAGTGTTAATCTTCTCTCCCCCCCCCCCCTCACCATATCTAACATTGTGACAAGTTCGAATGCCACAAGCTCTCTTTGCTGCCCAGTGTTTCTTTCAGGCTTTATTCACCGTGGGGCGGGAGCACTTGCAATTTTCATGGTGGGGGGGGGGGGGGGGATTAAAATTTCCGAGGTGGGGGAGGGGGTACTTTTTAGGTGTTGGGATAGGGTGGGGGTCTTAATTGGAACTTGGTAACATCCTGTTCGGAGATGTGGTTTGGTTTTTTTTTTATAACGTGTGATAAGGTGTGTGTGTGTGTATAGGTTGGAGGGATGGGCGGTTAATTATCGGCTAATAATGAGTGTCTCGTATTTTAAGGACGACGCCTTAAATCTATATTAGCTTAATATTTTTTTTAAAATTCTATATAATTACGTAACTGCTTAAATTAGGCTTATGTACTTATAATGAATACTTAGTGAAATTTAAACTGCTTCAGATCACGTTTTGTGTAAAACCTTTCATTTCCGTGGCGTTCCTCAAGTTATGTAATACACTAGTACCCATTTATGACGTAGGTTAACCAATACGTTAAGAATATCTGATGAAACTTCTAGTTAAGGCTAGATATTAGTCATTAATTGTCACAGTCCTTGGTTAACTGGGGAGGGGGTAGGAGAGGTGGGCAACAAACGGTGAGTGTAGTAGAACATACATGCGCAGAGAGGGAGTTATTACAATAGACATGCGCAGAGAGGGAGTTATTAGAATAGACATAACAATGTAAACAGACACGTTTAGAATAGACATGCGCAGAGACACCAGGTAAAATAATAAAACGTGAATTAGGCCAAGACGTTTTGTTTGAATGGCGCCCTACGTGTCCACGCGCGCTGGGCGTATAAGGTCACGCCTGTCAGTTTGAATGACCTCTTACACCTGTACTGTTTACAATCAAAGGGTGAATCAAATCGTGACTTTGAATGAATGACTTCTTAGTTCTGATTGATCTATTATTCCATAGTCGGCCTCACAAGGCGAACCAGCGTGAAAGTAACAATACGTAGCGTAGTTCAGTTCACGTTTTGTACTGCTCACAATACACGTTCACAAAGAATGTCACCGGTTAGATTGTGAAAGAGTTTGTAAAAAGTTTGCAGGTGGGGAAGGTGGTGTATGTCTATTCTGACAATTTACTACGTAGAAGACACGGTATGATTGTATGTTAGCTTATAGTTTACACATCTTAGAAATACACACGATAAAAAATTACTGTTCCCAGAAAAAGATCGCGTCGGAAAAAACGCAATGGAAAATTGCCCAAAACAGAAAAAATGCGCAATTACAAACTCGGTATACTAATACAAAAGTATTTTGTTATGCTATCATAATTTGTTGACGGCTGTAAATTACCGATTAAAAAACATTCACAAACACACATTCTTGTGCACAATCGACCTGTTCGCAAATTTCCTTCGTGCATTTTTTTCTGGTCCGCGTATTTCTGATAATTTGCCCCCCCCCCCCCCCTGCGTCCCACCCCAGAGAGATGCATGGAAGAAACTCTAGGTGTAGCTAAACAGCGTGACGTAACTTATGGACGGCTCTTTAAAGCATCGTCAGTTGTTAAATACCAAGAGAAACGTCAACCAACTTAGTCAGTCAACCAAGTCAGCCGACCAAGTCAGCCGACCAAGTCAGTCAACGTGGTCCATCAACAACGTGGTCCATCAACAACTTGGTCCATCAACAGCTTGGTCCATCAACAGCTTGGTCCATCAACAGCTTGGTCCATCAACAACTTGGTCCATCAACAGCTTGGTCCATCAACAGCTTGGTCCATCAACAACGTGGTCCATCAACAACTTGGTCCATCAACAGCTTGGTCCATCAACAACTTGGTCCATCAACAACTTGGTCCATCAACAACTTGGTCCATCAACAGCTTGGTCCATCAACAGCTTGGTCCATCAACAGCTTGGTCCATCAACAACTTGGTCCATCAACAACTTGGTCCATCAACAACTTGGTCTATCAACAACTTGGTCCATCAACAACTTGGTCCATCAACAACTTGGTCCATCAACTTAGTCAATCCACACTATTTCTTCACACACGGAGGTCGTGGATACAGGTGAACTCTGCTTCATCTGCCATATTCACCAACATATTAGAAAGGTTATCTGTACTTTACTGCCTGATACCATCAATAACATTTTCAGTAGGCCTACGTTACACCGCAATGGTTAAAAAAAAAACTCGTATCAAAAGTTAACCTTACATTGTGTATCACAGGGTGAAGGGGAGGGGGGGGGGGGTAGTGATGTATCCTGCACGCTTGAGTGACTTCAGTGTCCTATTATACGATCCTCTCCCAGATGTGACATGTTTTGAAACTTGCTGATTCATGATCATATGGTGTAGGGGGGGGGTGAATGAGGAGGCTTGAAGGGCAACAGATATGGGCAAACATGACTATAATGGAATCCTAAAATAGAACACTCTAGAATACAACCCACCCGACCACAGACAAGAGTTAAATGACACCGGTATAAGCCCACAAGTCAGGCCTATAAATACCATGTTGTGCTGGAAATGCTTGCCTTGCTAAATACCAGGCGAATATCTTGGTTTAGTGGTACCACAACAACGACGAGAAGTAGAATTATGGCTAGTCTCTTGGAGATTTCAAGTGATATCATTAGCCGTGGTACAGCTAACTATAAAGCTATAAATAAATAAAAACTAAATGGGGGTCAGAGAAAGTAATATCAACCCCATCAAGAAATCGCTATGTAGGGGTCATACATATATGGGGTCATACACACAGAGGCGTAGCGACCCTTCCCGGCGCCCGAGGACTAACTTTTCGATTTGCACCCCCTCAAAAGATTTCGATTTGCACCCCACTCAAACTTTCGATTTGCAACCCCCCCCCCCCCCCTCGAGATTTCGATTTGCACCCCCCTCAACCTTTCAATTTATTTTTCCAACCCATTTTGGCGCCCCCTAAGGTCGGCGCCCGGGGACATTTGTCTCCCTCCCCCTCGATACGCTACTGCATACACATAACGGACGTCAGGCTTCTTTAAAAAAAAATATTTTTATCTCCTCCCTTCTCTACCGTTACATATCTTCACTAAACGCCAGACATCACACATCAGCATCCACCCTCCATAAAATGTCAGTTTTTTTTTTTTAAATATCGATTTCTATCTCAAATATTTGGTCAGCTTAAAGTATATTAAATACATTTCTATTAAAGTTTACACAGAATTTTTTAAATCGCAAAATAACCACTTAACTTCAGTTTCTAAAATTACTTTTTTTTTTTTAAAAATGCATAAATGTGATGTGACAATTTATAAAACACTCTCTACCTAGTCAAATATCGTCACAAAAATCCGACCCCCTCCCCCCTTCCCCTAGGTGTGTAACCTTCGTATGGTTTTTAAAGATCCATCAGGTTATTGTGGGTTCACTGTCAAAAGTATAACAATACATTTAAACTAATCATTCGAAACTTATTACATAAATGAGGTCACACTATGTTAGTACTACACACCACCTCATATTGGGGCATAACCACCCACCCCACATTAACGTAACAAAGTTCTGTTTACACTTCTAAAATAAGCAGAATTATCAGAGGAAATTAATATTATTGTTTTGCAATTTTTATTTACTAGAATTAAAACATTTTTTTGGGTCAAGTTACATATCTTGACCTAACCTTCCTCAAAAGTTAAAATCTCACCACCGGCATTTTTTAGGTCGACCCCCATATGTTTAAACACATTTTACTTTTAACTTGCGACTATTCATTGAAATGCAATTTGTTGGTAAAAAATATGATTTCATTTTAGAGAAAAATATATTAAATATCTATATTTTTAAAAAATCAAACAACCTAGTTCTCTTTACTCTTTAAATAAATTTAAAACTAATAATTTGAATAAAAACGTTGAAATTTCGGTTGCTTAAAATTGAGAAGAGGAAATGTAGTGAAAGAATATCAAAGGTGTTTGAATAATAAAATCTAAAAATAGTAACGGTTATTATATAACAACATAAAGTTGCCGTCAAGCCACTGATTAAAAAACCGCTTACCTGGCCGACTGATTATGTATCCGGATAGTTTCACGAATGAGAATACACCACAACACGAGAGGCGGAAATAGTTGTATAACTAGGCCACTTGTTTCGCTCACTGCACAGGAGCGCAGGCTACACATACACAAACACACGCAGACAAAGGCGTGTCCTATTTTCACACGGAGCAAAAGCGTGTGGCCGACCAGTCCTGAAACATTCGCTTCGCTTTTATTTTTTAAAAAATCATTTGTACACACTGACTTGTTTATCGTTTTCACACGGCGAGGAAGACTTCAAATTAAACCAATCCTGAACCGGAAAAATGTGTTAAAAGTTGACAAGCGAATTGATAATAAAATATCTTTTCCGGATCACGTGACGTCTGCAGAAGTGAATTAATGCTTGACTTGACGACTACACCTTTCGTCTGATTGTCAGTGGAGAAATTAATTGCAAACAATAAAAAATAAAACGGGAGTGAGCTCCCCTGATCTTTCTCGTATATTGTTATAAAAAAGTAAAATCGGAAATATAGGCTATCAAGTACCC